ATCACCAGTAGCTAAACAATGCATAGTTTGAAGAAATATTACATATCTAGAAACTCACATTACCAGTCAACTACCCATGCATTCAGATAGGTGTTTTGCATTTTGATTTTATTTAAATATACATGGACTTGTTGGTGCTATAGTTCCAGAACTCCTTTGCAATTCCTTGCCTCCAGAGTTCCCAAATAACACTGTAGAAAATTTCTTAGTGTCCCAGAGCTGGTTTTAGGAGACTAAGTGGTCTGCAGTAGGGAAATGAGAGGGTTTCCTTACATAGCTGCTGGATGCTGCTCTTCTACCAGTGGAAGTTTACCTTTGGAGATTGCCTTGAGTCTGCTTAAATTAACCCAAGTCAGCTACACCTGAAGTTAGATTATTATCTGCTACTAGATCTCTTAGCGATTATGCAAGTCATCAGATAAGCAAGGAATTCTGGGTGCAAAAGAAAAAGATGCCCTCACCCAACTGAAAGATGAGTGTCTTAAAGAGGAAATTAAAGGAAAATAAACTTGGATTCTAGACAGGGAATTCTAGATTTGCATTCTGGACAGTGTTTATAATACTAAAATAATAATTTTAATTGGTTTCTGTGACAATTTGGTTATTAGTTTTTCAGTCTTTAGAAAAAAATGGCAGTTCTTTGTAAAGTGGAAGTCAGTAAGAAAAGAGGAAGACTTAATTGCAAGTGGATTGATTTAATCACAAAAGCACTGCCCTGACTTTGCAATTTAGGCTGTTGATAATAGACAATATTGAAGGTCTCACCATAAGTTCACAATAATGTCAACTTGTCTACAAATAATAAACAAAGTTCCAGTTGTGCTTTGTTTCATATATTTTGGGATATTTGCTACAATACATTAGACATAAATGAGTTACAACAAAAAATAGTCTTGACTTGAAAGGGATATTACAAAATTTCTATGTCAGTGGTTTTGAATTCTGATGTTTTGAACAAAGAAAGGATTCAGTTAATGGGATTAGCATCTAATCCAAATTAAGCTGTGTATGCACATGCCTTGAATGCCTTCAAAAGTTACAACAACAAGGGAATTTCTTACCTGTGTGTTCTTGTTTTTGTTATGAGGAAGGGAAGTTTACTTTCTCTTGGTGGTTTTTGGCAATACAGAGAGCTGCAAGGAAGAGGACAAGGAAATGAAGCACTGCACCCAATGGGTGCATGAATTTAGATTCCAAATTCAAATTATTGCTCAGTTTTCAGGGTATTCATAAGAAATTAATGATGTGTTTGGGCCCTTCCACGCAGCCATATAATCCAGAATATCAAGACAGAAAATCCCACAATATCTGCTTTGACCTGGGTTATCTGAGTTCACACTGACATATATTCCAGTTCAAGCAGAAAATACAGCATTTTATTCAACTGTGTGGAAGGGGCCTTAGAATTCCAAAGAATTGCTTTCAGAATGAAATCTGAATCCTTTCCTCTTACATAAACAAGGAACAGTTTATCTGTCATCCTGACAACCAGCATCTCCCATCTTTCCCAGAATTGTACAAAATTGTTCTTATGAAAAAGTGATCAGTAACTACATAATCTGATATGAAAAAAGACATCCTTGGAAATCCAGCATTTGTTTGTATGAAACCTGTTGAGAAAGAATAATAATGATATCCAGAACAACATTTTGACCTCTGGGGTATATCAGTGGACAGACTCCAGAACTTCATATTTAAAGTGAATAGATGCTCTAGTGTGGTGCGATCCAATGAGGGGCTTAAAACATATGCACTTGGATCTTCTTAGTCTGTACTTCACAAGGTTAAAAAAATGTAAGGGCCAAACTAAGGTCACACAGAGGTGGTGAGTACGGGGAATTTAGAAGAATAAGACTGATGAATAGCCAAGAGCACAAGTGAGGTGAAGATAATAGGTACAGTATAGTCTGAATTCCATTTTCTCATATTGGTTTTCAGAAACTTCCAGGGTGGCATCCTATTAGACACATATGCATTTTTATATGAGTATATGCCCTTTCTGGGTACTGTGGGGTTGGTATTTTCTTCCTCTACCTGCAGTGGTCAGCGTCTCTTCCACTTTACTCAACAGCCTGTAAAGACCCCAACATAGCCATTCCATCCTTCATGGGGAGCAGGCAAAATTACAAGTAACATTTGGTTACATCTCTACAGTCAGATGTCAGTGCTGATTTTACCAGAGAACACCCGAAGATCTCAGCTTTAATGCTATTTCATTTCTAACTGTGAGGAGATGCTTCAGAAATCCTGCCAATTTTCCACAAAAGCAGGAACTGGTTGTGCAGGAGGCATTAGAGCAGTCTTTCTCAACCTGTGGATCCCCAGGTTGAGAAACACTGCTCTAATGCCTCCTGCACAACCTGGAAAACTGGCTGGGATTTCTGGGCGTTGTAGGCCAAAACACTTGGGGACCCACAAGTTGGGAATCATTGCTTTAGAGGCTGTTCTATAAGGATATTGGTGGTAGTACTACAAAATGGCTTTGCTTAGCATTGGTCAAACCTACATTGATCTATACGGGATGGCAGCTACTGTCTAATATTGTCATTATGCCAACAGTGATATCTAGGATGGTAAATCTGCCCTAGTTTTTAATCCAGACTTTTAAGGAGTTAGTCTGGGTTGTAAATCCTCTTCAGATGATTGAGTTCCTTTGCATAGTTCCTTTAATATTCAGACTAATACTTGGAGGGGGTTCAACAGTGCATTGATGTGAAATCTGCCAGCTGCTAACTTATATTGGCAGTTCTTTTTAAATTCTAAGTACAAGGTTTTATATTTATTTATTTATTTATTTATTTACTCCATTTGTATACCGCATTTATCAGCCTCAGGCGGCGACTCAATGCGGTTTACAATAAAAATAAGCAACACTGACAATATATAAGACACACATACACAAACAACACACATATAGTCATCAACGCCTCAATTAGAGTCAGATCCCGTTCTCACAGTCCTTTTTTCCGTTCCTTGTTCAATGCCGTCTTACTGAGTTAGTTGTCATTGCATAATTATCCGAATGCCTGCTCGTAGAGCCACGTCTTAACCCTCCTCCGAAACACCAGCAACGAAGGTTATACTTATCTATTGTGACCCATTGTGCTGTAATCTATGCAAAGGGTTTCAGTGTACAAAACTGCTACATGGAACTACACATTAAAGCAGTTTTACTTATATGTAAGGTCAACTTGATTATTATTTTTAGTGATATGGATATTTTTAGAATTAAATGCTAAATTTTATATTTCAGCAGAATTTGTTGATTGGCTTTTGCTGTAATTTAGAAACAGAAGATGGTGGTACACAGCTAAAATCCAGCAAGGTAGTTTTATATGGTGAAATAACTGCCCTGTCTTCATAGTGCTATAAATGAATCCAACGTAATGATAATATTTTTTAGCAGTTTCAAAAATACCATGCTTTGTAGTATGTGACAGCATTACTGTATTCCTTCACTCCAAATCATCAGCCGTTACTGACAAGGACAGGAAAATTAAAAAATTATCCAGATATGGTGTTTATTATGTTAGACTAGGGATTAAAAGCCCATGTAGTCTAATCTGCCACACCTGGCTAGCCTGCAGGACCTATGAAAAAGCCTCTTCCTTCTCCTCAAAGTCCCCATTTCCTCAGATGAGGAAGAGGTGAGGAAATTCCTTTGCTATTGTCCGCTATCCCAAGCAGAAAGAAAAGTGCCTTGCAAAGCCAATAGCCAACAGGGATAGAGCAGTGGTTGCTGCCTGGATCTCCTAAAGATTGACTTGAACCCTTCATCAGCTGTTAGCCAGCCTAATTCAGTTGAACAGCAGACCTGAAGTGGCTCCTCAAGGTTCTGAATACCCTTTTCACTCAGTGGCAGAGAAGAATTGTATGACTTGGTGATTTCTGGGTTTCTGGCTCACACATTAATTGTAATGCATATCATTCTAATTAAATCTATTTTTGAAACGCCATACTTAAACAGTTCAGTAAACAAAATAAGGCTTGAATGTATGATGACAAAAATCTTATTATTTGGAAGGTATGGGATTATGATGCTGTGGACAAAACCACCTCAGATGCTGTGGTCAAAACCACCTGTTTGGAGTTGGGTAACACTCAACTACTGAAGATGGGTATATGGGTTTAATTCAGGTTGGATGTGTGTGTTTGAGGGGGGATGTGTATAGCCTCTGCTATCCATGCTTGGCAGACCTTTTTGGACAATGAAGTCTCGGAGCATCTTTACTTGCTATCACTACTGCACAATGCTCTCCAGCAACGACAGGTCATTCAGCAGTAGCTAAGTACTGCTTTCACCCCCTTTTGTGTACATAGTTAGTTCTTTAATCTATATAATCAGAGAAAGTACATGGGAGTTTGAAGTGGGTTGGAAGGGACATCTGGCATTTTTATATTTAGTTTTCTTTGATTTTTCACAATTTTTTGCTCCATATGTGCATGTGAAAATTCTGTAGATACACATTCTCTCAGAAAATGTCCCTTTCTCAACTAAGTGCAGCATTTCATCTCAAGTTTGTTTCTGATTCAACAGAGTTAGTTGGCCTGCAGCTTGAGATTTTATTGGTTTTTATGCAAGGTCCTGTAGTCATCGAACAGAATGGGATAGTGGAGCTCCCATCCCACCCCTGCTTGGATCATGGGTTGCTAGTAGCTTTAGTTCCTTCTTTGGTTATTTACTTAGCACAAGCTTCCTTTCAAACCCCTCAGTTCCTTTGTCTTCCACTTTTAGCCACATTTATTTTCATTTATCAAAGGTCACCTTTAGTTTTCCACTTCTGTATTTCTTTCAGAATGATTTTGAGTGGTGTTTTATGTATCATCTTCTTTGTAGATTACCCTTTCACTTAAAACCCGTCAAATCAATTACAGCAGCAACTTTAAGCCAAATATGTCTTTTCTGGCTCTACAGAACATAGGAAGGAAGGATCTCACTACTTTCATACTCTATGTCATTAAAGTAGCAATATTTTAAACAGCAATGCTCTCTTTTGCAGGTTTGACAGATGAAAAAGTGAAGGCCTATCTTTCTCTTCACCCCCAGGTACTGGATGAATTCGTATCAGAAAGTGTAAGTTCAGAAACAGTGGAAAAATGGTTAAGAAGGAAAAACCACATAGATGAAGGTAAGGTACCAAGAGCATTTAGGAAATCTGCTGAAATGTTCATTAATGATCAGGGTTATATTGGAATTGTGTTTCTGCATTTGTCTCTAGATACTGTCACAGTCTAGCTTTAGGCCGGGACATGGTACTGAGACAGCCTTGGTCGCCTTAGTTGATGATCTGCGCCGGGAACTGGACAGGGGGAGTGTGTCCCTGTTGGTTCTGCTGGACCTCTCTTCGGCCTTCGATACCGTCGACCACGGTATCCTTCTGGGACGCCTCGCGGGAATGGGTCTTGGGGGTACTGCCTTGCAGTGGCTCCGGTCCTTTCTCGAGGGTCGCTCCCAGAAGGTGTCACTAGGGGACTCCTGCTCGACTCCTCGGCCATTGTACTGTGGAGTCCCGCAGGGCTCAATACTGTCCCCTATGTTGTTTAACATATACATGAAGCCGTTGGGAGAGATCATCCGGAGTTTTGGGGTGCGATGTCATCTGTACGCAGATGATGTCCAACTCTATCACTCTTTTCCACCTACCACTAAGGAGGCTGTTCAGGTCATGAACCGGTGCTTGGCCGCTGTCTCGGACTGGATGAGGGACAACAGATTGAAACTAAATCAAGACAAGACAGAGGTACTCCTGGTCAGTCGTAAGACCGAACAGGGTACGGGGTTACAGCCTGTGCTGGACGGGGTCACACTCCCCCTGAAAGCTCAGGTACGCAGTCTGGGAGTTCTCCTGGATTCATCGCTGAGCCTGGAACCCCAGGTCTCAGCGGTGGTCAGGGGAGCATTCGCACAATTAAAACTTGTGCGCCAGCTGCGTCCGTACCTTGGGAGGGCTGACTTGGCCACGGTAGTACACGCTTTGGTTACATCCCGCTTAGACTACTGCAACGCTCTCTACGTGGGGTTGCCTTTGAAGACTGCCCGGAAGCTGCAGCAAGTCCAACGCGCGGCAGCCAGATTACTAACGGGGGCTGGGTACAGGGAGCACACCACTCCGCTGTTACGCCAGCTCCACTGGCTGCCAATTAGCTTCCGAGCACAATTCAAAGTGCTGGTGTTGACCTATAAAGCCCTAAACGACTCCGGCCCTGTTTACCTCTCCGAACGTATTCTCCCCTACGAACCATCAAGATTATTAAGATCATCTGGAGAGGCCCTGCTCTCGGTCCCACCGGCCTCGCAAGCGCGCCTGGTGGGGACGAGGGACAGGGCCTTCTCGGTGGTGGCCCCGCGACTCTGGAACTCTCTCCCTCTGGAGGCCAGAACCGCCCCATCCATCCTAACATTTAGGAAACAGGTGAAGACGTGGCTGTGGAGTCAGGCCTTCGATGAATGAGACAACACCATAGGACCCTGGATGGAAGTTGATGTAGATCCATCTTAATAGGATGACTGACCACTGTAGTTTTATATATAGTGTTTTTAAAGTTGTTTTTGTAATTGTGATATATGATATTTTAATGAGTGTATATGTTTTTTATGGCTGGAAACTGGGCTGAGTCCCTCAATGAGGTTGAGAAGCTCGGTATAGAAAACTGTGAAATAAATAATAAATAAATAAATTGGGCTGTATTGCTGGGACTTCTAGTGTTTAGAGTAGCACATTCCAGATATTTCATATTGATATTCGTAATTTAAGATCTGCTGGGGAGGTCCTGCTCACGGTCTCACCAGCATCTCAAACGCGTCTGGTGGGGACAAGGGACAAGGCCTTTTCGGTGGTGACCCCCCTCTTGTGGAATTCACTCCCCAGTGAGATTAGATCGGCGTCCTCCCTCCTTACTTTTAGGAAAAAACTAAAGACGTGGTTTTGGAGCAAGGCTTTTGGCTAGTGGGCACAGCAGCACTTTAGGCACTGAACTCGGACAATAGGATTGTTATAAAAATTGGGAACGGCTATATGACTTGTGATTATGTGATTTGTTCTATGTGATTATGTAATTTTAATTAATATCACTGTTTAAGTGTTATGTAATAGGATTTTATATTGTTGGTTTATATTGTTGTTATTGATACTGTTGGCATTGAATTGTTGCCTGTGTTAGCCACCCTGAGTCCCCCTTCGGGGGTGAGAAGGGCAGGGTACAAATGGTGTAAATAATGACACACTTTTGACACATGCAACATTTTGTGACATCATTAAGTTTTACTAGCAAATCAGAAGTTAAACCAACTCTTTATAAGAGATACAGACACATACCTAAAATGCAAATACAACATATGTCATGAAAACATTTCAATGATATTTCTAAAAAATCATGATTTGTTGCTTATTTCACATAGACTCATTATATTCATGCAAGATACCAACATCTTTCATCCGATATAGTGACATGTCATGACACACAGCTTGGAAAGCTCTAGTCTAGGGGGCTAAATTAATTCCACCTCTGCTATAGACTGAAATTTCTAAGGGTGTATATGGCTACAGGTATCAAAGTATAAAAATGAAAAGTTCAAATGAATATCCTATAAAATACTTATAAATGTATTAGTTCTAAACATGCAGATTATGCAGATTTTCCTTTGGAATTTTCTGGTTACTCATTCTGAGTATTAGAATAATCAGAGTAATATGCAGTACATTTTCTGGCTATACATAAATAGGATTTTGACTAATTTCAACTTTCACCTTGCAGTTTAAAATTAAATCTATTATACATTTCTTTTTTATTTTCAAGTGCTTCAGTAATTATCAGATAATGTTTTGATAAACTGCTCAGTATAAGTTCATATCAAAATCTTGACCCAATTTTGGCAGGAATGTCTCACTGGTCATAGAACTTTTATCATCTTTAAGTGCTACATGGATTATGTTTATGGTGTAAATGTAGGTGAAACTAAATATGAGGTCAGCTAATATTGACAGTTGTCACCACCAAGATCTAGTCCCTATTGATCTCCTAGGCAACCTGAGTAAAGTACAGATCGTAGCATGCATTTGGTAAAGAGACAATAGAAGATCTGTCAAGTGTTCTGTTTCCTTTAAAAAAAGTAAAACTCCAAATAACAGGGGACAACCTTGCTCCTAAGAAGAATAACTTTGCTGCTGCTTATTGTGTACAAATCTTACTGTCCTTTGTCTCAGTCCCCACATGACCAAGAAGGGGACTGGCCTCTTCTTGCATTGCCATCCCTCCATACTAACTAAATAACAGAAGAAACAACATTTAATCAAACACTCACTTTTTTGTTTTTAATTTAAAAAAACATATTTTGCCTGGTGGAGCTTTAAAAACTTGCATGAAGTGTTTTGGTTAGCCAATAAGGGTACCACTATTTTGTTGGTTTTATCATATTAATCCATCCTAGTCTGATGAAAGGAACTCAAGTCTCCATTCCTCCACTGTGTTGACAATTCAGTCTATGTGTTTTAGATTAGCAAGAGGTATAAGAATGTGAGTACATCTTTTACAGATGTACTGTCTGTTTTAAAATAATATTTTAGAAAGAAGAGGAAAGAAACAGATAGTCTGTTAGAGTTATGGATTATTCATCAGTTAATAACTGGGAAAGTTGAAAAGCCAAATGAATCAGAACAGGCATGACGTGTAAATTGATCACTGTTTGAGACAGACCTTTCAGGCCTTTCTGTTCTGAAATTCTGTCCTTGTAATATCCTACTTAATTCATAAAGCTGACCCTAGAACTTGAACTTATGATTTGTTTAAGTTTTCAGTTTGCTTGCATGTCAAAAGCAGCAGCATTTCCAGTACATCTTGAAGTATATGATTAATTTTGGGATGTTACATCTTCTTGGTTGATGGATAGAATTCTCAGCCATGAAGGGACTTCCTTTCACTCACAAGCAGGCCTGTTTGCTTACCAAGTTGCAAGCTTCTGACAGGATTGATTCCCAAGCTGTTGCAACACATGAATTTTGGTTGCTTTGAATTTTGTTTTGAAGGGAGTTTACTTCTTATAAAGGAAGGAAGGACACCATCTCAGGCAGGAACAGGTGCTAGGCTTGATTGTGAACCAGCCCTAAAGCATGAGAGAAGGACATTCATAAGAGGAGGGAAACTTTTTTCTGCCCATTTAGCTTCCTGGGCTAAGCATTTCCTCCTCCTGTACCAGCTAGTACCAAAGCAAAAGACCTATAATTTTCTTACCCTCTCATCTCCAGGTTAGAAGCAATGGGGTTACTTGACTATAAAATACAGAGCTAGTGCCCCTTAACAGGCTTTAAATGATGTTATTGATTACATTAGACACATTAAAATAATTGTATTGATTAAAACCTACATGAAATCAAAGTTGAATAAAAATATAGAAAAATAAAACTACAAAGACAACACCCAAACCCAACTAAAGTAAAAATATAAACACTACTTATAACAGCCTGGAAAACTCACAGCAACTCAATAACCACTACTTACCTCATAACCTATTAATAACCTAAAATATCTAAATATAAAAACATGACTTCCAGATATCTCAAATCCTAAATTTCACCTCTCTCTACTGAAAAAACTGCAGATCCAGACCCCATGGATCCACTGTATTTGCCATCTAAGAAGGCAACTACCATTACCCTTATCAGATCCAGGGGTGGAATATGACAAAATGCAAATTATTATACTGAGGCTCAGCATTGCTATCCAGGTAGAAACAAAATATGTTTCTCCTACCTTGAGCAAACAACTCCTTCTTTTCCCATGTCATGCATATGGTGGGGTCAAAAAAAGGGCCATAATTGCAGTGCCGAGGCCTAATCTTTGATATCAGCGCTTAATTATGAAGGATAGGAGCTGCTGGTTTCTATCTTCCCTTTTCCTCCTTTACTCTATTTCTTTTTCCCTGTAGCAGCATTTTCCAGATTCAGTGAGACAATGTTAATGCCGGAAGATTAAATAACATACATACATGCTAAAAACCAATCAGATTAAAATAAATTTGAGTAAGACTTTCTCCTACATATAATGGCTATCTATTATTGTCAAAGGCTTCCTTTCATTCTTTCCAGGTTAGAAATAATTCTTTTAAAAAGTGGATTCCCATACAATTAGGCAG